AGAGGGCTCTACTATAGTCGTACTTTCGATTAAACTTGACTTTGAGCTCAGGGCGACGCTTTACGAAGTTTGCAGCCCACCTCTTGCCAACTAGCTTCTGATTGCGGATCTCAAGCAAAGAATTGGCCATCTCTTCAACGTCAGCAAGCCTAGGCGGATATCCTTGCTCTATTAGCTTAAGAACATGCCTAACAATCGCTACCTCTTCAGATCCTCGAAGAGCCATTGATTTAGGCTCACAATCGCGTCGATAGGGCGTTCCAGCGAGTCGTCTTCGTAGTGTGCTTTCAGAGACGTTGTAGGTAGCTGCAGCGCGTCGCGGCTTAAATGTCGCGTCTTGTTGGATAGCCTGTAAGGCAAGCTGTATATTTCTTTTGTTTAAGGTCTTTTTAACATTGTTGCGTTAAGACATTACAGGTAGGCTTTAAGTTTAGTTAGGTCTTAGCAAAAAGGTTCCACTCGCTTGAAGGTTCCACTCGCTTGTGACCTACGTTAGCTAAGTTGAAATCCCTTTTCGTCTATATTAAATATATAGGTAGGTTGTATATTGTACTTCTCTATCTTTTTATGTAGAAGCTTAAAATACAAGTTGTACTTAGCCCTTAAATTAGCTTTAGTACGCTCCTTAGCTATGGCTTTGCCCGAGCGAGAGATAAGATGGTTGGGATGCTGGCGGAGGAACTGGGAAACCCAGCTTTCGGAGACCGGCTTGCTAGCCAACTGACTGGCAAACTGTTGTATTATTGTTCTTGTAGGTGGCAAACGTCGTTTGGTAAGCGTTTTGATATATCGTACGAGCTCGGCTTCGTGTTGTGGGTGGAGGGAGGACTTGCGCAAGCTATAGGTGTCGGTTTCGCCCTTGTGTCGTCTTATTAGCGTCATTCGTCCTACACTATACTTCTTTGCAATTGCTTGGTACGAAAATTTATCTCCTGGTTCACGCGATTCGATTTCTTCAATCGCTTCTTGGATTGGGTCTATATTGGTTGAGTTATGACGCGTTGAAGTTTTGTTGTTGTGGTGGTGGGGGTGCTCAACCAGTGACCATGATCATCGAACGCACGGTTACTGTAGTGGAACACAGTAACGTGTCGCGTCGCGTCGTCGGAACATTGACTTTTGACGTGCCCCTCAGACTGCGATCTGGACCGCCAATGCTGGACGTCTGTCTGTGTCCATACCATACACATTCGCTACTTTCGACTCTCCGCCGTTCGGATGATCACACGTGCCCAGCGAGTTGTCGCCTTCCTCCTCATTCCGTGCATCTCAGTCTTCCTGTTGCCCCTCCTATACGCTCGTCTGCGACCGTCAACGAATCCAATGCCTGCTCGAACTTCGCCAGATGAGGTAGCATCAGCTCTTCTTGCAGAGAATGGGTTGCAGCTGCAATCCCTACAGACTATTCAATCACTCTGGGCCGGCTACGGCGAGATATGTCGTGTGTTGGCTAATCCAATAGGCTCGCAAGATTCCTTGAAACCCTACATACTGAAGCTCGTCAACCCTCCACCGACCAAGGCCAATGACGAAGGTCATTCTCGGAAAATCTTGAGCTACCAAGTCGAACAACACTTTTATAGCCACCTCGCCCTCCAGTTGCCAGCGACACTACCGGTCGCCAAGTGCCTCGCTAGCATCAACAAGCACAATACTGATGGAACCTCAATGACTGCAATGCTGTTGAGCGATCTCCGGCAAAAGTATCCCATGGCTGGAGAGAAGCGCAATGTGCTCACGACGACCCAGGCTCATGCAGCGCTGGACTGGTTGTCTGGGTTCCATGGCTTCTGGTGGTCTCGCGTCAAGTCTTTGGAGTCCTCTTCGCTCGTACTACCCCCACTTGAGGAGGTGAAGCGCGATGGACAAGACGCGTCGAACAAGTCGGTCTGGTTGAACGGTGGATATACGTATTTGGCGACGCGCCGGAAGGAGTATGACAGCCTGGCGGCAGATTACGACTCAGAATGGAACGAACCACTAACTGATTGGGTTGATGGCGAGGATGTCTCCATATCCGAAATAGCAGCTGCGTTTCTCTCGCCGAAAGCTGTCGGTTGGACACCAATTGAAGGTTATCAAACTCTTATACATGGTGACGTGAAGTCTGAAAACATGTTCACGAGCAACTCTGGCGACGAAGTCGCATTTTACGACTTCCAATATGTTGGACTTGGCCTTGGAGTCTGCGATCTAGCGAAGTTCTTTACATGCTCCGTTCCACTGAACATGCTCGTTGCCGACCAGCGTATTCCACGGGAACTATCCATGCAAGAAGGCGAAAGGCAGCTGTTGGAGCGATACTGGAAGAGACTGGTAGAGATTGGCAAAAAAGAGTACACCTGGTCCATCTTCGTGCGACATTGGGAAACGGCCCTCGTGGACTGGTTGCGCTTCCAGGCCAGCTGGGGTTTCTGGGGAAACACCGACTGGTTGGAGGCCAGGGTACGGAGTATACTCAAAGACCAAGAATGGAGGGACGCGTTGATCAGTAATGTGGACAAGACGAGTATCCGCAATCAACGCGAAGCCTCTGGGTGAGGGTGGCTCTGTTTGCTGCCTACGTAGCGTGTAGACATTCACACCTCGAAATCTCTGGTGAAGCTGGCCCTGCTCTGGTTTCCTCACTCTCAACGACTGTGTATATCATCTATCAACCCGCCGTTGGCAATAACTCGGGCTCAATTGGTCAAGTGGCAAGGCGTCGCACTCGTAGCTTCAACGGTATGCGAAGATCTCCAGTTCGATCCTGGAATTGAGCTGCAGGTTCTATCATGGCTTTCCTTTTTGCCTCTTTCACGACACATCATGGCTTCCGACAATGGATGCACAGCATCAGCCTGCACTAAGCCAAATGCGATGCTCAGACAAGAGCGCTAGACGCATGTCCTCATTGGTCAATGATTGGGTAAGACTGCTACCCTGGTCTGCATATTGTGGCTTGGATAACCCCGCCTTCGAAGGCTAACACATAGCTGTGATTATCGAAGTTCTTACAGCCTGAGCGTCTTGCGACAAGTTTGCCTTTCCACAACTGCACTAACATCGGACCGTCCTGCTAGCTTCGTACATGGCGACCTCTATCCGCCCCAGTTACCACCCAAAATTGTTGACTGATGAAGAACACAAGGCACTTGACGGTTTCTTCTCCGAGCCTGTAACGGGTTACTTTGCCAACGAGCGATCAGCCTTCAACGAGAAAACAAACGTGTACCATGATCAACGCTGGGCAGGTTCCGTAGCCTCACCCGCACTCCATCGGGCTACTACTCCCCTGACCCAACAGCCACCTTGTGAATACATCGATGGTGTACCATTGGACTGGTCTGGCCACGGCACTTCTCACGTTGATTACAACAAGTCTGATGTACTTCCTCTCACACAAGGCAAATTTCTCGGGCATGGCTTGCACGGCGGAGTGTACGAAACCAGCTGTAATGGTGTCAAGCTCGCGTGGAAGCGCAAATACTGTCGTCGAAAGATAGGCGAAAGAGAAAGACGAGAGATTCAGGTCATCAAGAAACTCTCGCATCGTCATATCATTCGGCTGATGGGAACCTACACGCACGGCCCGTTTCTTGGATTATTGTTGTGGCCAGTCGCAACTTGTGACCTCGCCAGCTTTCTCGAAGACATCGATTGGCTGCAGAAGCGGGTTCAGTTGGAAGAAGGAATGCCTCTCGAGTTGTCAGAGGACTGGATGGAACAAACAGAGGAACGAGAGGCAAGGCTTCAAGCACTTGGAATTCTATTCGGAGGCGTAGCAACATCGGCCCGTGACTCAGCGGTAGATTTTCTCAGGAGGACGATTGGCTGCATATCCAGCGCAGTGGCATATCTCCATCAATCCGACATCAAACATAAAGACCTGAAGCCGTCTAATATCTTGCTTTCAAAGGACGGGCTATGGCTGACGGACTTTGGTACGGCAACAGACTTCTCGATACTAAGTTCCAGTGTTACGGACAACGGCGAACGAGGCACGCCAAAATATTTCGCGCCAGAAGTTGCGAGTTTCGAACCAAGCGGACGTGCCGCAGATATATTCTCGATGGGTTGTATCTTCTTCGAGATCATGATACTCTGTATTGGGCATACTCTAGAGCTTAGCACGGAGCTGAGGCAATCGAACGACAAATCCTTCCAGTCGAATTTGGCAAGGGTGGAATTTTGGTTTTTTGAAGAGAATCGTTCAGAACCCGATCCAACGGTAAACATTGACGAGTATCTTCTAGGCCTGGTGAGATCGATGCTGCGCGCAGAGGCAGACCAGCGCCCAACCGCTGGTATGGTGGAGTCGGAGATTGCCATGATAACTCAACTGTGCTCTGCGTATCGTTCGATGCACTTTTTACCTCACGGGCCAGGCGTCTATCGACATTGTTGCCATCAAGAGGTGATCTGCAACCAGGAAAAAGAGATTCAGCCAACACCAGACGCGGAATTCATTACGAAGATTACGGCTGGAAGAACGTTCCTTGAGCACGGTTGGTCATCCTACATCGAATCTGTTACCGGAGATCTCATTGAGACTGTCCATATGTTCGCCGTGAGTACTTCTGTGACTCCTTTTTTGCAAGGAAACATATTGAGCCCATGCTATTAGGCCAGATCGAATTACCGAAGTCATCGCATCCTCCACTCATCGCCCTACGAATACCACACCTTGTATGACCATGGCGTAAGTGCATGTCTAGTCCTTCGCCCGGGCTTTATGTGGACTAGCCCGATAGCTCAGTCGACGCCAAAGACCAATGACAAAAGAGTGATGCCATTGTTTTGGTCAAGCATAATTGGCATCGGAAACTACAAAGAACTGCACCCTTTTGGTGTGCAAAGGGTATCTTAGTGTACGGAATATCAAAGCAAGGCAAACAACCACCACAGTACTTCCAACTGACGGTTCTTCGTCTATGCATCTTCGATTTTCCATCCTACACGATTGGCTTGCCTAGGCTGCCTAGTGTCTCAGCCTCGCGATAAGCGCTAGCTGTTTACAGCTTTGTGACGCGCCGGACATCCAGCCCCGCCCACAACGCTGACGCGAGAGCTAATGGTATACTTAAAGCCCCATGGCGCTGTCTCACCCTATGTCTAGAACATCTATGATATGTGTACATATAGCTTGCAGAGCCCCACTCAGGCCGCAATCGCGTCCACAGCAAATCTCTTTTCCCATCCACAATGGATTACCTCTCAGAACTATCTGGTCAGATCGGATTGAAGACGGCCGTGGCGTCTTTGTTCTGTATATGGCTACTGTACTGGCTGGCCATAGGCATATATAGGGTGTATTTCCATCCCCTGGCCAAGATTCCTGGGCCAAAGGTTTGAATTCCACGGTTCTACCATGTGAAAACCCCCATGATGAAACTGACACCAGGTAGTTGGCAGCATTCACCTTCTGGTACGAGTTCTACTATGAGATCTATCCGCATAGGTTCCAGTACCTCTGGAAGATCAGACAGCTACACGAAGAATATGGTAAATCTCCATCGCCATCACTCGATTTCTCGTTCTCACAGTATTTTCAGGCCCTATCATCCGTATCAATCCTCTACAGGTTCATATCCACGATGCAGACTATATGGACACCATCTACGCGTCCGGCGCCAACCATAAGCGTGACCGTTGTAGCTGGTCGCATCACACCGGCTCCAAGGTTTGGGCGGGCGCCATACTGGAAACGATGGATCACGATAAGCATAGGATGCGACGAAATGCTGTATCTCCCTTCTTCAGCAAGCGTTCTGTCCAGGCTCTCGAAGGGCTCGTCGTGAATAACATAAAGAAGCTCCTACGTCGTTTCGAAGGTGAAATGGAAAAGCAGGGCCCGCACGCCGGCATTGTGATCCTCAATGATGCATACGCCGCCTTCGCTATGGATGTCATTTCTGAATACTGCTTCGGCGAGTCAATGAAGACCTTAGACAATGATGACTATGGTAAAGACTGGCTGACCATCTTCCACGACGGAATGCAGTTAGTGCCATTCGCTCGCCAGTTCCCCACGATTTTCAACTTCCTCCTCGACCTGCCGCCGCACATAGCTGCGAAGTTGGATGCTGGGGCGGGAAAATTGAATGGTTACCTTTACCAAATACTGGGCAGAATCGAGCGCATAATGAATCGGGAAGATGGTGTAAACGAAACAAAGGATCTTAGGCGAACTATATTTCATGACATAAGGGATGATGTTGGTTGTAAACTTCCCGAGAAAGAGAAGCATCCAGTAAGGTTGATGGCGGATGCAAGCGTCATTCTCGGTGCAGGAACAGAGACAACATCACGGACTATGGCAGTGACTACCTACTACCTGATCAAGAATCCAGAGATAGGCGAGAAACTTCGACGGGAGCTAGAGACGGTGATGCCAACGGTGAATCACGAGGTCTTACTCCGGCAGTTGGAAGCTTTGCCCTACCTAGTAAGCCACCCTCTTCATACAACACGACCAGATATGCTAACACGTCATTGAGACCGCGGTGATAAATGAAGGCCTACGTTGCGCCCACGGTGTCTCTTCCCGTCAACCCCGCGTCGCTACTGGCGAAGACCTCACATACGCGCAGTATACGATCCCCAGAGGAACACCCGTCACGCAATCTCCCTACCTTCTTCACATGGATCCCACCATATATCCCGACCCCTTCGCCTTTCGCCCAGAGCGTTGGATCGAAAATCCCAAACTTACGCGTTATCTCTTCGCTTTTGGGCGCGGGAGTCGGAATTGTTTGGGCATGAACTTGGCGACGTCGGAGCTATATCTTGGTCTGGCGATGATTTGGAGAAAGTTTCAGTTCGAGATCTATGATACCGTTGAGAGCAGAGATGTGTTGACGACTTACGATTGCTTTTTGGGGATGACGGACCTGAAAAGCGAGGGCGTGAAAGTCAAGGTTGTGGCGGAGGTGGAGGTGTAATCGCGAACGTCAGTGTGCCGGTCAGTCGACTAGGGTCAAGAACGATGGTTTTCGCTTGAATAAATGACCATGTTTCGAAGTTGAGTTCCTGCTGTGCGTAGTGTTTTGGCAGGCCTCTGGATAGGGACGGCTCTTGCGAGAGAGTCAAGTGGAATGGTGCAGATCCTCCTGCGAACCACGTCGGTTATTTCTCACGTCTGTCACCCATGCGTAGCTGCGCATAACACGCTTGTAATTGAATGGGCTTCAAATAAACAAGAGCTAAACGGATCGCTAAATGGTTAGTGAAGTATTAAATACCAGAAGCGTGGAGAGCTACCACAGGACAGGTTGCTCGGGTACGCAGCTTGCTCACATCGTTCATGTGTCCACCAGTAGCCGTGAGCTTGTTTATCGTTCTTGCGGCTTGTACGACATTCATTGCTGAATGAAGACTAGGTGTAAAGGCAGACTTGCTCGAATGCGGAAGCTCCATAACCGACATGTTGGACTGATGGTCGCCTTACCCAGCTAATCGGTTTCGGCCATCGCCAAGGCAGCAGTTCGATTTATCTACCCAAGAACATCATATTGACCATTACGCCCAAGTTTGCAAGCTCGCCAATATTGAAGTTCCATCAGACACAACCAAGATGAGGTTTCATGCTCCCATAATCGCAAGTATAGCGAGCATCGTTGCGTTTTCAGACAGCTTTGTTCTTCCTCCCCCAACGGGCTTGTTCAGCGTCGGCTCTAAAGCACATGTTCTGCCAAAGATCACTTTCGACGACCCTGTGGCACCTAACGGCACTGGAACCTCCATTCTACTCAATATCTTTTATCCGACCAAACAAAAGGCTTCACCATCAAAGTACATCTGGAGTGGACTTTCTAGTCTTTATGACACATATTTCAAACTTCCCAATGGTTCATTTCGCAACGTCACCGCCCGTACAGCCTACGAAGCCGAGCCACTCCTTTTGAAAGAATGGAAAGGATTGAACCTACCAACACTCATCTTCAGCCCGCCCTTCGCTGGACCGCCATCTCAGGTGTTCCATGCCCTTATCTCCGATCTAGTATCCCATGGATACTCAGTAGTGACCATGGATCATCCATACGAGCAACCGTACCTCCAACTACCCGACGGCACCGGCATTCCAGGCTTGCCATTCGATTATGATACAAACACAGAAGAAGGAGTTCAACTCCTACAGCGCGTGCATGAATATCGCCTCACGGATGCCGACGCAGTCCTCGAAGCCATGCCCGCTCTCTCGAAAAATCTTTCGATACCTCTCAACCTTACACATTTCTCTTTCCTCGGTCACTCGCTCGGTGGCTCTGCAGCACTCAGTCAGATCCTATACGAACGTAATCACACATCCAAACGCAAGCATCGAATTCTCGGCGCTCTAAATATGGACGGAAGTCTCTGGGGCCCGGCTGCTGCAAACGACTCTTCTGCAGACCTACGCATACCCAGCCTGATCTTGAGTTCGGCATACCACAAAGGTGATCCACAGTTTGCAGACTTTGATGCACAGCAATCGACCTGGGCCAAAGAGATAAACGTTGGAGGGAAGTCTAATCACACTGACTTCTCCGATCTAATTGTATTGAAGCAGGGACTCGGAATTTCAGGTGGTGAGGGAGCAGTTACTGCGCACAGGATGATCAAGATTACGCGGACACTTGTACAAAGCTTCCAAGGTTACCTATTGGGCAAAGGTGAAGGTATTCTAAGCGGCACAAACGAGACTGGAGCTGCCTGGCCGGAACTGGACTGGTTGTACAACAAGACAGGCTCAGAATCCACTTGATGAGAGTCAAACGAGTCTTAGACCAATCATGTTATCAGTTCCTAGAATCTAACTATTCCTCCACGCTTTCTTGGTATCCTTTTCTCCTCTTCTTTCGTACATCATGAGATATTCAGACGTCGAAGCTTTCTCTACTATGATGCATGCGAGGCCTTGGCGGCACTACTGGCTAGTCTGGAAGCTCATACATCCTAGAAACTTCGGACCTGTCGAATTCCAATCTCGATACGCTGTAGGCTGTTCGTATGATTCCGGTCGCTGATCCGTCAGCTGTTGAGCAGAGGTCGTTGGCCGGATCGGATACCTTCTGTATAGCCTCTAGGATCTCGAAGTTCTCCCGCGGCGTGGAGATGAACATTACGTTTCGGTCGGGGTTCATCGACGTACCGTATCTCACGGCTTGTTGATTCGAGGGAGAGATCGGTTCCACGTTCGACAACAGTTGGGGTATATGTAGATGTTGGCACTGTCGCACTGGTTCGTGAAAAGACAACAGGACCGTGACCCATGTTCAAGGATAGCTTAGGTGTGGGCATCGAAAAAACACCTGGTGGAGTCGTTATTGAAGATTCTGGAGGTACGAGAGTACTAGTAGCGGTCTTCGAGGGCCCTGGCGAAAAGGAAGTTGTGGCCATACCGCCAGTTACGGCGAACGGGTTCAAGTGCATGGTTGTTGCTGTGAGTGCCGCTGGTGAGATGGTTGTCTTTATTATTGCTTCTATCGTATTGAACCAACTTGCATGTCGTGACAAGGATATGGAAGAAAATTGCTTAAATATTCCAGCTCCTAATAAAAGGTTCAATGGTTGAGGATAAATGACCCATAACTATTTGAAGACGAACCACGGATAGGAAATCTTGCTCATCCATGTGCAAAGCGTGAATATCATATCCAGGTGCCCTCGCTACCAAACTCCGTATCGCTCGGGTCAGGGTTGCGATTAGGGTCCCCACGAGACTGTAGAATGTGTCTTTGAATCTGCTGAAGGTCTGGTATGTATGGCAACGATCCGATTGAATGGCTTTGATTTGTTTCGCTGGACTCTAATTACGAGAGGGTCTCACATAAACGCGACGCAACCTTGCGTATGTTAGCAAATGGATAATATGTCGTACGAGACTGCTCGTATTCCGAAAGCTTACCATCTTCTTTGCTTGTATTGATACCAGATCGAATCGCTTACTGAGCATTTTCACCATCCATAAAATCCCCAAGTCCATGGAAGAACATGTCATACGTTTCTACTACAGATTTTCACAGAGGAAAGATGGACGTTGCAATGAGGATGAACCGTATGAAAAACATGATAGGACCGCCTCCGACTGCGAAAGTGAGGCAGCAAAGGTGGTAAGCGGTTGCAAAGCTGTAAACGGCAAAGACGACGGTGATGACGCAGACTGCGTATGCAGAGAAGTAGTAAATGAGCGCATGGCAGGTGTCTCTGCGTGTGGAAAGCATTGTTGCGGACAGAGTTGCGGGAGCTGAAAGACGAGAATCTCCGTTTCGTGAGAAAACGGGATGTGAAAGTTCACAAGGTCACTAACTGTTGCAAGGAAGTGTTTCAGGTTTTTTAACTGCAACTTTTTGTCTTCGATGCATAGGACTTTGCGTAGGTAGTGTGAGATTTGCGGTCGACTTGACTGGCTCCTCACTAGCCACTATGGACGCGAGGAAATTGATTCTTGGTAGACGTGACTGAAAGTAGCTGTCAAGGACTTCCATGGTCACAGTGCACAGGGTGAGCCAACTCATGACGCTCTGAAGGTTGGCAAGGTTCAATCAGATATCAGAAGGGATGAAAGGATATTATTTGTGCTTGATGTGAAGTTGTTGAAGATCTGCAATCACTTAGTGCGCTGTAGTAGCTGCCAGGCACTCCACTGTTCGAGGAAGTCGTATCTGAGCGCACCAAAGTCCAGAACGGTGAGCAAGCCGCACCTACCCTACATCTCCAATTCCACCTTCTCCTTCGTCGTCGTCTCTTCTTTCAACACTTTTTCCTCAATTTCTGCTGTCGTTACCTCCGAGCCTTCTTTCCCTTCCTCTGTTATAACTCCCAAGCCCGCCTTCTCCTCCTCATCCCTCTTGCACATATTGCCCTTCTCGATATCGGCAACTCCGCCATTCTCCGTCATCTCTCTTGATATCTTCTCATTCTTCCTCGCTACTCCCCAAGACCACCAACACAAGAGACACGAGTTGACGACTGCAGCGGCGTCAAACATCGTATGCTTGCCTTCGATCCATTTCGAGATGAAAACGGATGTTTGCAGTACCGCAGCGACCACTAGCAACCAAAAACCGATACGGCCTTTTCTGAGGTGCTTATCTAGGGATTCGTTCGACATCCTACGTGATGGTAGACTTTGGCAAAGACAACAAAATGTGATGACCGTGAGGTTGTGTAATTGTAGAGTAAATGGTGGTTGCATTTAGATGGGAATGCAAAACACGGAGGCAGACAGCGACAAAGTGAAGAGTGATTTTAGATATTGGCTATTATACATAGTAGTGGGTGGCCTTATTGGGTGTCAAAGCCGTTCCATCCGAGTGTGTGACTAGTCACTAGCATGTGGCGAGCATTCCGGATTCTGATCCGAGACGTGCGTTTGTTCATCGACTAAGTTCGCACCCATCTTCCGGGAATACAGTCACGCTTGAATAGTCTGGTTGCCACATCACGGCCGCGTCACTAGCCAGCCTCTCCAGGTGGTGCTTCACCACACCTTCCTATCCGTCCCTTATCGGCCACTACTCATCGAGCATCGTATACGAGATTTCCAATACCAAGCAAATGCAGACGTTCACAGTAAACAACCCCCAGACGACAACCCCCAATGATCCATTCTCAAACCATTGTTGTACAGTATGAGGATGTTTCCAGCTCATAATTGTGAGGAAGCTAGCGATGAATGTGGTTACGGCGGCGGAGACGACTATGCAATATGATATTTTCTTGATCACGCTCTGGGATTTGGACTCCTGCTGGCTACATTCACAGGCGATCGTGCCGACTTCGGGATCGTATATCATCGTGTGGTGTCTTTGAGGGTTGTATAGGTAGATGAACGTGCCAGATTCGATAGCGGACGTCATTTTCTAGTGTTTGGAATCCTCGATAAATGGGCAGACGAACGCGCCGATTGCGGGACTGGGTGACGTGGGATAGTGTGCTTGAGTGTGTGGTGTATGTAAGGCTGTAGTGTGGTATGATGGTAACCCGAGCCGTGTGCGAGTGTGCAAGAGTTGCAGTATTGGAAAATACTTCAGTTTTATATCTTTGGAATATTCTTTTCCTCGCAATTGTACCGTGGTTGACTTTCTTGGCTCCAGCCAATCTTGTACCTGATACATGGTATGCTATCGTATGGGTATTACGATGACCCAGATTACCGTCGATGCCTGCACCCTGATCTTTCCTCAGGTAAATCCAGTCGTACAAATCCACGACGACAGTTTGCAACGTCCTGTTGTTGAGATTGGTGCCTCTATGTCATCCAACCATATTCATGCTTGGTTTCCGACTTATGAAAATCGTCTAATTCGTGACTTCCAACTCCGGCTCTTTCTGCTCGCCGTTCACATTCGAGGGGAGTTGTGGATCATCAGGCCATGCACCTTCGATCCCCTGCGCGGCAGCTGCAACTCCCTGTTGTGAGACATCGTTGGACTGTGGATCATGTTGAGCTAGAGGATCGCCCTCGAACCCATTTGGGTTTTCCTCTGCCATTTCGCGGAACAAACCTTCGATCTCTTCTGCATCGTCGAATTCGTCTTTTGGATCGTTGGGGTTTCTGTACTTCGTCCTGAGGGTCTCTGACATATCAAAGACCTCTCCTGACGCAAGCTCAGTGGTCCACTTGTCCATGCCCTGGTTGGCCAATGCATCTGCTGCGATATTGCCTTCGTCTACCGCGTGGGCCTTCACCCAGGTAATGAGAGTCTGAGCTTTACACTTCTCACGTTCCCGTATCCTTGCCAAAATGGGTTGGATGATATCCTTGTTCACCACCTCTTTGTTCTTGCTGTTCCTCCAGCCATTCCTCTCCCAGCCCGCAACCCAGCTTGTAAGGCAGTTTTTGGAATATTCTGAATCGCTGATGATGTGAAGGTCGCGATCGATGGGAACGTGGTCAATTGCTCGGGCCATTGCGACTAGTTCGGCTCGGTTGTTGGTCTGAACATCGCCCTTGAGAGGTTCTTGGACGTTCCTGTGTTGAATGTCAGTAAATGCTCCAGGCTGTAGCACATGCTGTTTGCCATGATACTGACCTAGGATCTCTTGGGCCGAAGTAGACACCACAACCGGCTTTCGCACCTGCATTGCCATTGCCCCGCGAACCACCATCTGTGTAAACAACAACGGGGCCTTTGAAATCCCCTGTCGGCTGTCTCTTCCTTTTCCAAAGTTCCTCGTCTGTCTTGACTCTGATGTTGCCTGTTTTGTCGTCGAGCTTGAGGCTCGGGTCGAAACCATCTACTGCGTTGAGCGGGAGGGGGCCGAGGCCAGGCTCGAACTTGATGTCTTGGTTGTCTATGAGGGGTGCTGGCGATGCATCCTCCTTCTTTTGGCGCTTGGGTGCACTCTCCGATACCTCCGTGCTCCTATCCAGATGATCTGTCGCCGATGGGGACCTGGATGCAGAGAGATCTCCTCGTAGGCTGATGGGTGCGCTGATGCCACGAACAAAAGCCACGGCCTCCTCTTTCGTCTTGAAGCTTTTGTGTTTGGCACCACTAAAACCGCTAATCTGCGCTTGCGTGGTCGGCCAATCTGTATACACGCCTGGTTTGCGTCCGGCGGCTACTCCATAGAACTTCGGCTTTCCTCCACCTGCCATCTTTCCCTCTTCGGTTATGTACGTGTCAGGATAATCGGTCCACGGCGGAAATGGACGGCAGAACGTAGTCGATGACCTGGACGAGGAATAGATGAAATGATGGCAGCGGATATTAGAGTACCTAATCGCCTCAGTCAGATTTGGTCTGGTATTGAGGGCCTCATTAGCGTGACAAACTTACCATACGTTTGTTCCAGGTGAAGAACATGTGCCGCGCCGAGTAAAGATTCGCGAGGCGCTATGTAGCATGCGACAATGACACAGAGGGGAAACTGGGAGTGTTACCGACTACAAAGCGTGAATTGCAGTATAGAGCGTTGTTGAATTGGACTTCTCGCTGCATTGTTTGTGGTTGCGGCGACAGCTTCGGAGGTGCTTGGACCCTGCAGCAAGCAACCTGTCGAGCCTCATTTTGAGAAAGAGCTAACGCGTTTGATCAAGCCGGACAGCATCGTGAATCATACGGGATTGATAGAGCATCACAGGTTTTGATTCTAAGTTATGCCATGAACCACACACATCATGACCTTGAAAACGCGTATGTCCTAAGCCGTTGGACGCGCCGTGGTTGAACCTCGGAAGCTCTAACCCCACTACGTCACACATCAAGCAATTGATCGGAGCGACATCACCACTAAACACGTTCATCTACACTCTCAATAAAGACGACAAAATAATCATGTTCGAAGTAGGACTCTGACGATGCGTGTCTATAAATGTTGCCGCTCACAATATCCAGGGCCGTCACGCGTCAGACAATTACCGCCTTCACCTGCATCGCGCGCGATCAGTCGTGTTGACGAGTGCAGAGCTGGTTGAGATTCGCGCAGCACAGCGAACATTTGAGGGCGCATACGTCCGTACAGCAATCGGCCAGTTTTCTTTTGCGCTCGTAGTACTCAAGATCTTCACCGCCGAATTCTATTCGATCGGTGCACTGTTCGCAGTCTACGGCGCTGGCATTCTGTTTATTAGTCTGTTCCGGCGACAGCAAGGTCAGTTGACAGTCATGGTGCAGATGTATGACGACGACGGAGGTGTGGCTGCTGACAACAGACAGGTAACAAACAGTTCTTCTCAGAAGTCGGTGAGGATGGCTTGCACAGGAAGAAGTTCCGAACATCCGGCAATGTGGTCACTGTGTTGACGGCATTAAGCGTCTCAGCATACATCTGTCTGTTGGTACTGACGCTCAAACTGGCGACATGAGCATCTCATCACTGACGTCTTTGGATCGTGATGAACGGTCACGTTATCTCGACGAGTGCTTTCAGCACAGGTGACGACGTTACCTTGGTACCGTCCCAGACATACGGCAGGTGACCAAAGGGGTCTCCACAATGCGGAGGTTTCATCTGGAAAGAAGTCTGGAAACTACTTCTGGAAATCTGGGGAAATACATTGTCGTGTATGTATATGAGTGCCAAGGATTTTTGCCTATACAAGAAACAGTGGAGTGTGTAGCTGCACGCTGACGTTGCGCGATCCACCCAGGAACTGGTCAACATGGCACGGAATCACCATGAGAGGAATGGAACGTTGTGCAACGACCGAGACTGTCACCTCGCTCAGAACTACTTTGGAGTTTGTCTAGCCCGTGTCTGCGTGCAAAGGATCAGATCAGGGTAGTTGTGTGCTATCTTGGTCGTCTCGAGGTGCAGCGGGAGGCGTGTGAGAATGATTGGCTTTCGTTTCGGTATCGGACTGTGGGGTTGTCCGCTTCCAGCAAGAAGACGTGCCAAGCGGTTTGTACTCGGACAGCGATGCGCAGACAAGTCGCGCCTTGTCCTCGCACAATCTCACCGTCGAGACTGGAGGATAAAAACTGCTCACCATGCACTGCTCAACGCGTTTGCGCGCGTTCCTGAAAACTCGCCCTCCGCTACCACCGGCGGCCTAGTCAAGCGGCGCACCCGTGGTTCCTAGCCCTCTCAACCAAAGGCCGACTCCGAACAGTCATATCGATCCCTTGATAAGGTCACCGGCCCGACAAGCCTGCACTCTGAAATTCACGCGACAATTCGACAGGAACTCTTCTTCTACACAGCCTTTTCGACCGTCTCCCCAGCGCAACCCAGTCGCACACAGTCTTGCAGCGGCAACAGCAACCTGCATCCAGAGCCTTGGGTCCTATCTTAGTGCAGCGGCCAAGCTAGCCTTTGATAAGTATTTCGACATCTTGGCATGACGCCAAACATGGAAGCAGTCCCGACGCCGACTGTGACCGAGCTTGTACATCACAAGCATTCGCATCGCCGCCGATCCTCAGCTTCCTCAAATACCTCGACTCCAAACCGCCGCTTCAGCTCCCACTCCATATACGCCCGATCTGTAATGAGCAAACTCACCCTACCCCTCGACAACGCAAAGCAGCCAAACACCAACAACGACAACGACCTCACTCCCCGCGCCGTATCCGCCGAGCCAAAATTTCCTGCTGTTGCGCCTGCAAAGAACGTGCAGGCTCTCAAGGAGAGCGCCTTCCAAAATGGCCAGCTGAAAGCGGTCCCGAATCCAGTCAACCAACAGCACCACAATGGGAGTTTGGTCACCAAGGATGGCGTGGGCACTGCCTTGAGTGACACCCCACTGCCATCGGTTCCGGGAAGTCCGCGGGAGTATGGAAAACCGCCGTCGCAGAGCGCTTCCTACTTCGCTGACCGTGACAGCGCCCTAACCCGCAATAGCTCCACCACATCGACCCCGCGATTACGGCCTACCACGCTCGATATCCCCGGCCTGACCAAGTCCAAGGTCTCCCCCGACGGCAAGATCGCACAGCGAGATGTCGGCTCCAAGCTTGTCATCGTCATGGTTGGACTGCCCGCGCGAGGCAAATCATACATTACAAAGAAGATGGCACGCTATCTGAACTGGCTGCAGCACGACACCAAGATTTTCAATGTGGGAGAGAAGCGGAGAGTAGCTGCGAGTCACAGTGGATTCAGGCTGTCACAAGCAAACCTCGAGCGCGTCTCCTCACACGTCAAGCAGGCCATTGAGGAACATCAAGACTCACTTCCGCAGATCGCTGCGAAAATTCTTATCAATGGCGACCCCGCGCACGATGGGCCCATAGACCCACAGAACATGCCGGACCCACGCCGGGGTAGCACGGCCATTGCGGAGGACGAGGACGGCCCACCATTACCACCACCACGAGTCGAAGTCACATCGCCAGGCCCGAAGGCGCCTTCGCCGAACAATGAGACCGCAACGGAGGAGGAAGAGTCGATGGACCAGTCAGCCGACTTTTTCGACCCACAAAACCAACGGGCAGCGGCTTTGCGTGAGCAATGCGCTATGGAGACTCTGGACGATTTGCTGGATTACATTCTGAAGGGCAGTGGGTCTGTGGGCATATTTGATGCGACCAACAGTACGCTGGCGCGACGACAACAGATCATGGAGCGGATACGAGATCGTGCTGGACCAGAACTTAACGTTTTGTTCGTCGAGAGCGTTTGCCGTGATCAGAACCTCCTGGAATCCAACATGCGCCTGAAGCTATCAGGTCCAGATTATGCAGACAAGGACCCGGTCGCAGCCTTGGCAGACTTCAAGAAGCGCGTTGCCATTTACGAGAAGAACTATGTTCCAATCGGCGATTATGAGGAGGACAACAACATGCCCTACGTCAAGATGGTGGATGTTGGCCGGAAGATGATTTCGCATCAAATCAAGGGCTTCCTTGCAGGCCAAGCCGTCTACTACCTCCTCAACTTCAACCTTGCACCGCGTATGATTTGGATAACCAGACACGGCGAATCAGAGGACAATGTTGCTGGAAAGATTGGCGGTGATTCCGACCTTAGCGAGAACGGACAAAAGTACGCAAAGGCCATGACACGCTTCATTGCCGCACAGCGCAAAGACTGGGCCGTTCGACAAGCAGACAAGATGGCCAATACCCACTTCCCTCCAGTGGCAGGCGACCACACCCCTCCAAACCCCTACTACAGCCACGAGCTTGAACAACGCAACTTCTGCGTCTGGACCTCGATGCTCAAGCGCGGTATCCAAACTGGCCAATACTTTTGCGACGAAGAGTTCGAACTTAAACAAATGCGCATGCTGGACGAGCTGAATGCGGGTCTCATGGAGGGCCTCACCTACGAAGAAATCCGCAAAAAATATGCAGACGAATACCTTCAACGGCGCCGTGACAAGCTGGCTTACCGCTACCCCGGCCCCGGTGGTGAGGGCTACCTCGACGTCATCAACCGTATCCGTCCTGTCATCGTAGAGCTAGAGCGCATGACGGATCACTGCCTGCTTATCACACATCGGAGTGTTGCCCGTGTACTGTTGGCGTACTTCCAGGGCCTGAAGCGTGAGGATGTGGCGGATTTGGATTGCCCGCTCGGCATGCTGTACCAGCTTGAGCCTAAGCCATATGGCGTTGAGTTCAAGGCTTGGAGGTACAACAGTCAGACAGATGACTTTGATCATCTGCCGGATTACAAGCTGAGGAGGGGCGCGCCAATGGCAAATAACTAGGAGAAGATGGAAAGATGGGCTTGGGACTGGGATTAGATGGATGATGTGTATTATTATGGTTGGGTTTTAGATGTTGATGATGTATGTGTGCGTAGGGGGTAGGGTGGTTTACATTACTTTTCGGGATGTTTTGTGTTGGATGCTGGCTGGGTTTTTTTCTAAACCTCCTCCTAATGCTCCTCCTCCCCTTTCGTAATGGTTTCTTTGATGCCCCTTGTATGGTTTGATGCAACGCTTCATGGCTATGAATCATGGTTGTTGGGCATTTACAGGCGTCTTTTTTCTCTTCTTCTCTCTTTCTCTTTTCATCATTTCTTTTGCATGGGGTGGGCGTACGATAGATAGATAGAGGGGTGGTATGACGCAATGATGATTAGACAGGATGTCTTTACTTCACTCAAAAGATGGTGTTTGCGATCCATGTGATGGCGGTGGTGTGTGCGCTGGGAGACGTCATCTGATGATGGAGTGGGTGGTGGTGAGGGTATATAAATCCTCTCTTGGATGCCCTTTTCTGTCTTCTCTACGCCGTAACTGTCCATCTTATCCTCCAAAATAACGAACCTCCGCCCAAGTGTTGGCCTGGTGATTTTGTTTTCCAAAAGGCTATTGACGCCTTCGGATGTACGAAAAGCCATACAAATATCCTCTTTCCCTCTTTCCAAAACGCTAGCTATTTCAACGTATGGAAAGCTTCTGCCAGCGAGATCCAAACAAAATCCAATACCACATCCACATGGCAGCAACATTTCCTGTCTAAAGACCCTTAAGCCTCCGCACGTGGCTTTCGCGGACTAGCTATTTAAGACACTCTGGTCTCTATCGTAGTGCTCTATACTTTCGCCCTAGCGTCACCAAAAACATAGCGTACAACAGCGAGACATATGTGTGCCGGCTTTCTTCTTCCCAAAAAAGTGATGAGATGATCGCATGTGTACACTCTCTTCCCGGCTACCTCGCAAAATGGATACCGAAATCTGACATGTGAACGATTGCCATGTCTGGATCCAAGATCTTTGACAAGTGGAAAGATAAGAGGGGAAACTTTGTCCAGCTCTAATACATACAAAAATCATCTGGAATCAATGACATAAGGACTGGACAGTGGAGGCGATGAGGGCATAGATACCTCCCCTCGATCTCCTGTTTTCCTTCCTCCTACATTATCCTGCCTCCAAATTTTACCAAAATACTACAGCAAAAACAAAAATGAGCTGCCGTTCTTCTTGCCTCAAAACGCATACGGGAGTCCTCCATGAGCTTCTGCTGCTCTTCCCTTCACTTTCTTGAACTCGATTCGAATCAGATTCACGAAGCTAGACTTCGAATTATGCCCGAAAGGAAAATGCTGGCTGCATATTGAAAACTTCTGCTGTGTTGCCCTTTGCATACAAACAACATGGCTGCGGTGTCCTGATGGTGATTGAGAGAGCGGGGTGCGCATATAAAAGCCTCCCTTCCCGGGTCTTGCTTCGTCTCCCTCACCACTACACTCTCTCCATATTGCTCAAAACTACAGTTAAAGGCGTGATGAGGTGTGGAGTACCTGCTCTCGTTCTCTACAAATTATCGTTTGGGAAGAACAGAATGTGCTGTGTTGCGCCCTGCGTTTTTCTTTGCACTCTCTACAAAAGCAGGTATCATCCAAGTTGATGACTGGTATCAGCTGCCCTCTTCTACTCAAAAACAAGCTAATGAAAATTCCATGTGCGGTCGCGCGGCCTTCTTCCATGTTTCGTTGTTCTTCAACCAAACTTCGACTCGCGATAAGCCATGTTGAGTTGCTGCACTGTTCGAAATCATCTAGTAGCGCGCACATGAGTTTACTATGATGCTTTCGGAAAAGCACAATGAAACATCTGATGGCTGTCAGAGAAGTAAGATCAGAGATATAAAAGACCGTCTTCTACATGTCTTTCTTTCTCTCCACTACAAAACACTACCAGAGTATCTGACCAAAAAAGGTGAGCAGCGAGAACATGTCTCTCTCCGGGTCCTTTCTCCAAAAGTGTCTTGTACCAAGCTGGATGTCTGCGGCTTGCTGACTCCTACTGTCATCTATCCAAATGAACACTATCAAAACCTATGTATCGGACGGCTAGCCTGCTCATACGAGATCTTGAACCACCCCTCTTGTCAAAATTCGAAGAACGACAACCTTAGCGTTTGCGTGCGTAAGAGCCAACTTCAGTTGGCAGTCCTCCTCACTCTCACATTCCTTCTCTGGTTCTACTCCAAAAAAAAAAAAGAGAACAAGTACATTATGAGTGTTCTCCGGTCCACAAAAGGTCTCGAAAAACCGATATGATGCACTCCTGCTCTTCACTTTTCGAAAGATGAACGAATCAAAGCTATGTGATCCCTCCGCGAGAAGCAAAACAATGGGTCATGGCGCATACGATGAAGAGTCTTACGAGAATATCATGCCCCTATCCATCTTGTGCTTCCGCAACAGAACAGTGGCTATAAATCGAACTCTTGTCGGCATTCTTGCTTCCTTTCTACACTACATCCTTCCAGCGGGATTCCAAAAAAGGCTACAAGGTCACGAATGTGCTCTCTGCTCTTCGATTCAAAAGTATCTTAACCGGTAACATGCCAGTCTCGGTCGTCTATCCGAACAGATGTAACAAAACGTATTGAACTTGAAGCCTTCCTACCGCAATGCAACACTCAGCTTGATATGCAGGTTTCCCTTCCCGAGAAACCCTTTTGACAACGAGCTATGCTTATACGGGCATAAATCTGGGAGGTGCACATGGCAGACTGGGTATCAAAAGGATCTTCTTCGGTACTACCTTTCAGCTTCCTAATACACCGATCTTTGCATATCTTCCAAAAAACTTCGACGAACGACTTATGAGCGTGCGTGCGCTTCTCAAAATCCAACTTCATTCTTTGATATCTTTCTCCTTGTCCTCCACAAGCAAAATATCGTCAGTACTATTCAATAAAGAGCAGGATTGATCCAAGAAATGATCAGAGTGACCCTGTAAGCCACGTATACTAAGCCTTCAGGGGTTTGAAATGGTGGTGGACAAGGTAGAAAAGACTTCGCACGTATTCTGCTTCTTCTTCTCTTCTAGATCAACATAAATCGCAGTATTTTCCAAAACAATACATATTTCAGGCTCATGCCCTGCTCTGTTTATCCGGGACTTTCACGAATTGCCCGGACGTATCAATCAAATTTTGGAAGGAGCTGTTGTATGCTTTCGAAAAGCGATCTTCGAGAAATTCATGACCACTGCACTTGCAGCACAAAGGCCCTGTGACCTTCTTGCCATGTCCCAGGAGCTGCTATATCAAGTATTCATTATGACACAATGTCCGAATGCGGCGACTATAGTTAGCATGGGTGTTGCGGATATAAAGGCTTCTACTTCGCTACCGATATTGCTCATTAACCATCAACAGCATAATTGGCAAGATCAAAAAGTATATACTTGATATTTATGGCTTTTCTGGCTTGTTTTCGAAAATTGCAGACAAGAAGACGATGAACGTTTGCGCTGTTGGTCTACCTCAGCAATGAAGAACAAGGACATCTCACTCAAGAGATACAACCTATATTCTTCCAAAGGAAGATCCTCAAGCAACGGGATCTCAAAGAAACTATGAATTTACATGATGTTGATCCCGCCCAGAGTAAACAGTGCAGCCGATATAAGCTGTCGTGAGCTTCTCGAACAGTGCGTTTTATCGCACACCTTCCTATCTTATCACTTATGGACGCTGCGGGTTACATCATGCCTGGACCAAAAGTGATTTACGCAGACCACATTCTGGGCGCTTGTACGCGATTCTGCTGCGCTCTCAAGATTGACTACTTCCAAGATATATGTGAAGCGATGTGCGGATTCATCGCGCCTACGGTGTTAAGCTCCAGAATACAACATTCGGTTGCGATGGAGTACAGTTCAATCAGAATGTAATGATGACCTTGCATGGCAGCAGTAACTTGCTTCGTGGGAATATCGAACACCTACTAGTAGTCTCTGCCTCTCATTAATTGCTCGGTGCTTCGGCCGCAGCCTGCCATCGATTCGAAATCGAGATACGTGCAATGCATGGTTTCCTCGGCTTTTCTCTCCCAACATGCGATCATGCCATGAAATATGTCGCTGTCTCCTCTGTTTCCCTTACTTCTGTATTCAAAGAGCTAGAAAAGGTCGAGTGACCACTGCTTACTTCGCTGGACAGCGCAGCTGGATCCGTAAGCAACGCCAGCCTTGTAAGCGCCAGCCTTGAAAATATCAGTCTATCCATGATCTTCATACAGATTGCATGTCTTTGAAGTCGCAGTGGTCAAGATGGAATCTGCTCATCGGTCACCAAGTTGTTCTTGTCTGCTCGCCCACGGCCAAACATCATTTTGTCCGCTTCCTGCTGCAAATGAGATGGAGCTTCTGATTGAGTAAGATTATTGCAGCTTCCAGGAAGCGCCTATGAAGAATTCTCTTAGGTATGCCCATCAGCTGTTCTCTACTGAACCATGTGTCGGCACTTGCGCAGTGTTATGTTTTCTACAACGTTGTATAGTATCAGCTGAGAATACATACACGTTATTCCTCATCCAGCCACACTGAATCCACCTCACGACCTTGGAATCGCCCGTCAGCACTAATAGACAACCCCATAAGTAATGCAAGCTGGCTCCTTCTCTGGAGAGGTGGCGTAGCATACGACTCCAGAACATACTCTCTTCCGCTCTTACCCATCGCAAAATAATTCAGGTGAGTTTTCAACACTCCCGGTATCCAATCAGTCCAAACATTGAAGCCTGGATCCATGTAGTATTTGTCATCTCCTGATACCGGGTAACCTCTCATAATAATGCGAAGGCCCATTGCTCTATTGTGCGTATCTAGATATCGTAACATATCGAAGACTGACGTATACACTCTCATACGCGCTATATTGGGAAAGTAGCGAATGGGTTGACCAGTTGAATGGTGCAACACGCGGGTATATGGACCATTCCAGCGTAATTCAACCCC